GCAACAGGAAACCCAGTGCAACCAACAAAGGCGACCAAGAAACCAAGGGACACACCCACTCAAGCAAAAGGAAACCCAGTACAACCAACAAAGGCGACCAAGAAACCAAGAGACACACTCACTCAAAAACGAAGGAGACCCAGTACAACCTCACTCACTCAGGCTAAAGACGAAAGTAAAATGAACCCTCTGACACTCTCCCAACAACGCCATTACCTCCCACTGTCTATGAAAATACCGCTGGCGACGAGATGACCTGAACCTCTTAAAAGAATACAAAGGTGGCACTTTGCACGGGCCTTAATAACCTCAATCAGAGGAAGAGCCCCAGGCTGGACATCACGGAACCGGAAGTCATTACGCCTCTCCACAGGAAATACTTGGCCAGATTCAGCAGGTAAACAAAAACACGAGGAACCACAACAAGTTCAGACGCAGAGAAGCCAAAGAGAACATGACGAACCAACAGAGAGGGACATAGAGAAGAAGCACGAAACATGAGAGATTGAATCCAGCCAAGAACACTCTGAGCCAGAGCACACTCGAAAAAAAAGGTGAGGCGGAGTCTCAGGAGAGCCGCAAAAGCAATTCGGGTCGTAGTCATACCCAAAGGAAATCAGGCGATCGGCAGTGTATAAGACACCATGAGCTACCTGCCAAGCCACATCAATGACAGCTCTGTCAACAGGGCAAAAAGCCAAGCTGTCTCCAAGTAGCGGACCAGTATAGTGAACCATACAGGGGAGGAACTTCTCCTCACAATGCGGCGGAACAAAGTTAGCTGACAGCAAATACAGATAAGCCGACTTAGCAGTCATGGCAGAAGCCAAAGTAAACTGATGAGGGTCTGACGAGGCCATCACGAGGGCCGCTCGAGATTGAGAGAAGGAACCATCAACTGCACGCCAAGCCAACAGCAGAGACTGATAAAACGGGGGAGAGCACGAGGGCTAAAAGCAAAAGGCCGAGAGAACACTTCCACGGGGAGGAGTTAAAGACAGTAAAGAACCAGAAATGCACAAACACAGACCAGCTGGATTGCGCCATGACGAACCTCCTGACCCACTGAACTAACAAAGACTGAACTTTTAACTTAACGTCGACAACAGAAAAACCTCCCACAGAAGGAGCCTGAACAACTACCAAGCGCGATACAAGATCCTTTTTGCCCTTCCAGAAGAAACTGAAGACAAGTCTCAGAAGCTCACCAAAGACCCAAGGGGCATGCGGATGAGGGAAGCCACATACCACACCCGGGACAGAGCTAAGGCATTGATCACAAGGGCACGACCCTGAAAGGACAAGATACGCTGGCGCCAAGAGAGGAGAGTGTTCTCAACAGCCTCAATGCGGGGCTTCCAGTTATCATCATCCAGGTTCCCGGGGCCCAAGAAAACCCCAAGAACCTTAATTTTAGTTGACGACCAGTCAAGGCCAACCGGCGGGTCAGAACGATTGGCCCAAGGACCAAGCCAAAGACCTTTGGACTTGGAGAGATTGAGCCTGAGCCAGAACCTCGCTCATACAGATCATAAACATTAAAACAAGCACGGATAGCATCATCAGAACACACGACCAGCGATGTGTCATCAGCATACTGAGAAATTGGTGAAATAGCGTCAGATTGTCCGGGGAGACAAAGGCCTTTAATACGTGGATTGGCACGAATGTTACACGCGAGCACTTCAGCAACAAGAACATACAGAAGAGGAGACAAAGGGCAGCCCTGACGTACACCACGAGACAAGGAAAAGAAAGGAGACAGATAACCATTGACATTAACGGAACTTTGAACGCCAGTATAAAACAGGTTGACCCACTGAAGAAAAGAAAGTGCCAAACCCCATACGACGGAGAGTGGCATACATAAAGGACCAATCCACTCTATCAAAGGCCTTTTCCTGATCCAAAGACAAGATTGCCACTGGGGAGTCAAACATGGTGGCATAGGAGACCACATCACGGAGAAGGGCAACATTCTCCCCAATATACCTCCCCGAACACCACAGGCCTGGTCCTCAGCAACCACCAGATGGATAACCTTCAACAGTCTACCAGCAATGGCTCGCGCAGCAAGTTTGTAATCAACATTCAAGAGAGATATGGGACGCCAGTTCCGCATATCTAATCGATCACCCTTTTTGAAAGACAAAGCGATAATCCCCCGACGTTGAGACAGAGTCAACGATCCAGCAACGCAACAAGAATTAAGAACGTCAACAAGATCATGCCCAAGGACATGCCAAAGTTTGAGATAAAACTCAGCCGGGAGACCGTCCAAGCCTGGAGCCTTACGCTTAGCCATACCAGACAATGCTTCAAAACATTCCTCAACCGACAGTAAACCCTCGCAAGACTCCGACTGGGCGGGCGGCAAGGAGGACTCAATGTGACGAAGAAGGGATTCCTGAGCAATGGGATCTGTAGGCTCAGCAGTAAAGAGAGACGAATAGAAGGCAGAGAACGATGAACAAAGACCCTCAGGAGACGCAACAATTTGACCATCATCGTTGCGCACAGCAGCAATCCAACGGTCAGACCCACGCTTCTTTTCGAGACGAAAGAAGTAAGAGCTGGAGGTTTCCCTCCTCAATCCAGCGCGCCCGCGCACGAACTTGAGCCCCTTTGCAACCTCCACATCCAAAGCAGCCAGCTGCTGGAGAACCGACTGGTAAGGCCCCACCAAAGACAAAACACCAATATCAACACGTTCCTTAAGGTGCGAAGCAAGCCTGAAAAGAAGGTCTCTTCACAGCATTGTCCGATGACCTGGCACAACAATAATTAATGGAGAGTCCCTTAATGCGGGACTTGCCCGCCTCCCACCACTTAGCTAAGGAGGGGAAACGCTCCTTCTGGTCACGCCAGCGGGACCAAAGATTTTCAATTTGGCGGACATAATCCGACTCCTCCAGGATAGAGGTGTTTAGTTTCCACAACCCGGGACCCGGGGGAACAACATCCGGTACAGCAACACACAAAAGGACAGCACAATGGTCAGAGAAGGGACACGGAACAATTTCACACGACGAGACAGAGGGGACCCACACATACGGACAGCCAACGAGATCGATACGAGAGAAGACAGAGCCATCCGGGTGCATCCAAGTGTAACCTGAGGAAGAGGGATGTAGATATCGCCAGATATCAATGACACAGCAATCATCAAACAGACGAGAGAAATGGAAGTACTCTCTCTGAGGTGTCAGAAACTACAGATCCAGTACGGTCAAGGGAACGGTCAAAAACCGTGTTGAAATCGCCACATATGACAGTGGGCACGGCTGGGTCGACCCAAGAAGAAACTTGATCAAGAAACTGGTCCCTTGCAGGGTTACGATTGGGCGCATACAAAGAAACAACACGAAACAATTTGCCTTGAAAACGGAACTCACACAACACGAAGCGACCGGAATCATCAGACGAAAAATTCACAAGGGACAGACAAGGACGAAAAGAATAATACAACCACACGACTTTTGAGATCCAGGGGACACAACACAATGAAAGCCAGAGGAACGAAACCAAGACTGACACTCAACATCACTAACGCAGTGAGTCTCTTGGAGACACACAACATCCGGGACTACAGAAAGGGAACGCAACCACTGCAAAAGACCGGCACGCTTGTCAGGATTCCTAATACCGTTTGTGTTTAGTTGTATTATTGCTAGAGCCATGAAGAAAGAGGGAGGTTACTTCGCCTTGGAGTTACGAGATCCACCAGAGCTCCTAGGAGGCTTCGAACATAACCAATGCTAGGAGGCAGAGCATGTGAACCAAAGGAGGGAGGCCGACTAGCCGAAGAGGAACGCTTAGGAGATCGACTGCGACTACGATCGCGGTCGTGATCGACAGCAACGGGCCTGGAAGTGCCCGGGAAACAACAACAGCCGGCTTCTTTTTAGAAGAGCGAGGAGGGAGCACCTTGGGCATAGCAAAAGAAACACTATCAACCGAATCAACAGAATCGGAATCAGGGTGTGACCGTTTTTGTGAATCAACCGCCAATTCCATCTCACTGTTGTTTTCCCGACCAGCGAGAACACCCTGGCCAATATACTCTACATTATCGTTAATATCACTTTCTTTACTATTATGTAACTTTCCATTATCACTATGTATATTTCCATTCTTATTAGTAATACTCTTGTCATTATCACTATGTATATTTCCATTCTTATTGGTAGTACTTTGTCATTATCACTATGTTTATTCCCATTCTTATTGCCATTACTAATATCATTATTGCTGCTAGAACTATTATTATCACTAGAATTAACTTTCTTTTTATTAAGACCAACTCTAGATTTAAGTTTATCTAACAACCCAAGATTAGACGCGCTGTGAAGAGAGCCCCTGGCCAGGGAGGGAGGGGAAACAAAAGAGTCAGGACACGCCGAATCAATGGTCACCCCTGCAGCGAATCGGGGTCAGCAACAGACGAAGCAGAAGGGGTGAAAAGGGGCTGGCTGCTTAACTCATCGAGTTGGTTATCACGGCAGTCCATAGACGACGAACCAGACGGAGTAGGATCCACGGAGGGGTGAGGTCATCATCAGACACAGAGTCGAGGTCAGCATCTGGTTGGGAGACTGAGGTAGGACCAGCAGCAGCAACAGCAGAAGAAACGGACACCCCATCTAGGGAGTCGGCATCACCGTCGGGCACAGTACCAGTCACGGGTGGATCGTTTCTGACAGCAGAACGACCAGCAGCCTCCGCAGGGGTGGGATCGGATGGATCCAGCACAGCATCACGGTCACGATAGCCAACCCGCTGAGGACAGTCACGTGAGAAATGGCCCTCAAGCCCACATTGAAAACACTTATCACGAAGGGGACAAGCTCGCGCAATGTGACCAGGCGCATGGCACAGATCACATACCTGCTGTTGACCGGCATAGGCAACTTTGACATTAACCTCAGCAATAGACAAATTACGTGGAATAGCCAGGCGGCGGGTCATACGCACAACACGCACCCCATCACTAACATCGGTCAAATGGGTCCAATGACGAAAAGAGATTCTCTCAATAACCCCATAAGCCCCAAAACACGACGAATAGATTCTTCAGACCCCTCAACAGGATAATTATAAATAAGCACATTTTGAGCGCGGGGACCACCACCCCTAACCGCGCACTGAACACCACTAATGTTAATGGCCTGATGGTTTATAACCTCTTGCTTGCTGGCTTCAACAGCAAAGGTTACTTTAGCAGCTGTACCCACGAATTGTACGGCGTGAATCTTATGGTTCGCAAAATGGTTTACAATAAGCTCGCAGACTTTCTTACGGTCATTAGTTACAGCCAGCTGGGAAACATCCAAACTTACAGTGCGGCGAAACGCGCGCAAAGCCATAGCCGAAAAAGCGAAAACAAGAAAAGCAAGGGAAGGAAACCCAACGGGGTTAAGCCCTGACGGGCGGGGAGAAAAAGGAGACGGGCGACCCAAAAAGGGGCCCAACCACAAAAGAAAGAAACCAAAAAAACAAGGCTAGACCCAGGTGGGCAACGCCCAACGGGGGACGGGGGGCCACCCAAGACCACTAACAGTGGAACCGGGGGGGCAACCCAAACTTAGAAAAAAGGCAAAAACTTACAAACACGACGACCGTAGACTTGCAGCAGCACTACCAAGTAGGCCAAGATAAGAAAAACCACACCACCAAAGACGTCCGTAGTCACGCAGACTGGAACAAGCTTGGAAATGTAGCGACACTCACCACTTGAAGAACGCAGAAATTATACCACAAGGGTAGGGCTTCCGCGTCGCGAAATCAAGCGTCAGGTAAGTTTTTTGTGTTTACAGTGAATGGCCGGCCCCCCAGTAGGGTGGTGCAATGCCGCCAGACTTAAAGTCTAGTACCACACACAGCAAACCGGGGCAGTACACCAGTACAGAAACTGACTGGGGAATCGAACCCCCACCCCTACATACACAGTACAGGACAAAACAAAATACAGGACAAACATGTACAGGACAGCAGAACAAGTTAAAAGACGCGGGCACTAGAACATACAAAATAGCTAAAAACACACTCACTCAAACGCCACAAAAGGCAAATAAATCTAAATGCACACTCACTAAAACGAGCACTAAAACTAACAAGCACACTCATTCAAACAAAGACTGGGGCCAGTACGACCAACAAAGGAGACCAGCAGATCCAGCAGAAGGAACCACAGTGCAACCAACTAAGGCGACCATAGAGACCACAGACACACTCACTCAAGCAAAAACTGGGGCCAGTACGACCAGCAAAGGAGACCAGCAGATCCAGCAGAAGGAACCACAGTGCAACCAACTAAGGCGACCATAGGAACCACAGACACACTCACTCAAGCAAAGACTGGGGCCAGTACGACCAACAAAGGAGACCAGCAGATCCAGCAGGAGGAACCACAGTGCAACCAACTAAGGCGACCATAGGGACCATAGACACACTCACTCAAGCAAGAACAAAGAAGAAAGGGAACACAGTTACAACGAGATTGAGAGGCCAGCCTCACCAACCGAACCTAAGGTACCATTGGCGCACCACTGACGCAGGAAGTAACGTTTGCGACGAGCGGAGCGGAAGCGCTTAAAATAGAGCGGCAAGTAGAAGGCCACCCGGGCCTTCACTTGACCAATAACAACAATGGCCCCAGGACGAGTGTCCCGAAAACGAAAGTCGTTCCGAGCTAACCAAATAAAAAACTTACAGACATTCAAGAGGTAAGCAAAGATCCTCGGGACAGAGACCAGCTCGTCCGCAGAGAAACCAAAAAGAACATGCCGTAACGACAAAGAAGGCAACGAAGGGCTACACTTAAACATCAGGGACTGAAGCCACGAGAGGACACTTTGCGCCAGAGGACACTCATAAAACAAATGGGGAGCCGTTTCTACAGGACAAGAACAAAAGCAGGTAGGGTCAAAGCCATAACCAAAGGAGATGAGACGGTCTACAGTGTATAGCACCCCATGCGCAATCTTCCAATTAAGATCAGTAACGGGGCGGTCCAGCGGAAAGAGAAATAACGATTTCCAGGTGGTCGGCCAGTAGAGGTCACCAAACGTGGGACGAAATTTAGCAACACAGTGCGGTGGGGACAGACTAATAGACAACAGGTACGAGTAGCAAGACTTAGCAGACATGCTCACTGCCGACATAGCGTGCTCAGATGATTGAGAGCCCATAACTAGACAGGAGCGAGGAACCGAGAAGGAACCATTGACACTACGCCAAGACAGCAAAAGTGACTGGTAAAACGGAGGCAGGGCAAGAGGACTATAAGCAAAAGGTCGCGAAAAAACATCAAGCACAGAGCAGTTGAAAACAGAAAAGAACCAGAAAGTAAGGAAGTGAGACCAATTAGCGTAGGATGAGAGAAAACGCCTCACCCATTGAACGAGAAGAGATGAAACCTTCCGCTGGACATCCACTACCGAGAAACCACCCTGATCAGGGGGTTGAACGATAACAGCTCGACGTACAAGTTCACGTTTACCGCCCCAGAAGAAATGGAAGGCAAGCCTAACCAAATTCAAAATGACCCAGTCAGGCATGTGGATAAGAGAAGCCACATACCAGACTCGGGACAAAGCGAGTGCGTTAATGACTAAGGCTTTGCCCCTAAAGGATAGAGACCGCTGCCTCCAAGAGGAAAGAACCTTCTCAACAGCATCGATCCTCGGTTGCCAATTGTCAACATCCAGGTCACCAGGACCAACAAAAACGCCCAGCGTCTTGATTTTAGCCGAGGACCAATCGAGTGGGACTGGAGGATCCAGCCTACCAGCCCAACTGCCTAACCAGAGGCCTTTCGATTTGCTTTTGGTTCAGTTTTGCTCCAGAGCCCCTCTCATAGACGGCATACACCTCAAAGATTGCACGAATGGAATCGTCAGAAACGACAACAAGAGACGTGTCATCTGCATATTGCGAGATGGGCGAAAGAGGAGACGAGGACCCAGGAGGGTCAGGCCTTCGATACGGGGATTGGCTCTAATGTTAACAGCTAACACTTCAGAGACAAGTACATACAAGAGCGGAGACAGAGGGCAGCCTTGGCGCACCCCCGTGACAGCGAGAAGAAGGACGACAGATAACCATTGACAGACACAGCACTGGAAACGTCAGTATAAAACAAGTCCACCCATTTAACAAAAGACTGGCCGAAGCCCATAGATAGCAAAGTCGAACGCATGAAACCCCAATCCACTCTATCAAAGGCCTTTTCCTGATCAAGGGAAAGGATGGCAATGGGCTGTCCAGAGAAAGAAGCATAATGGACAACATCTCGCAAGAAGGCAACGTTTTCGCCAATGTACCTCCCCGGGACCCCACACGTCTGGTCATCAGCAACGACAAGATGTATGACCTTAAGGAGACGCCCAGCGAGAACCCTAGCAGCCAGCTTGTAATCAACATTAAGAAGGGAGATCGGTCGCCAATTGCGAGGGTCGAGCCGATCACCCTTCTTAAACGACAGAGAGATGACACCACGACGTTGAGAGGAAGAGAGAAGACCCGCATCGAAACAAGAGTTAAGAACAGTGACCAGATCAGAGCCAAGAACATCCCAGAATTTGACATAGAACTCCATGGGCAGGCCGTCAGAGCCAGGGGCCTTGTTTCTGGCCATACCCATGAGAGCCTCACGACACCCCTCTACACCTAAGTAACCTTCGCATAGGCCGGCTTGATCCTGAGAAAGAGCAGCAGACAGATTGAAAGTAGAGACTGCTGAGCAGAGGAGTCCACAGGGAAGCAGTGAAGAGGTCAGAGTAAAAGGCAGAGAAAGAATCACATAGGTCGTGCGGGTCAGATACAATACGGCCACCAGGGTTCCGAATAGCAGAAATCCACCTATCAGTGGAGCGCTTCTTCTCCAATCGACAGAAGTAAGACGAGGAGGTCTCACCCTCCTCAACCCAACGGATCCGTGAGCGAACCTGCGCTCCCTTGGCTAAAGCAAGATCTAATTCAGCCAGGCGGCTCAGCGTAGAGCGATAAGGCTCATAAGCTGAGACTAAACCCTCATCAAAACGAGCCTTTAAATGATCAGAAAGGCGGACCAAGAGATCTCTAGATGCACGAGTCTCCTGAGCCCGCCGAACACAATAATCCTTTGTAAGCTGTCGCATCTCTCTCTTACCAACCTCCCACCACTTGGCGAGGCTAGAAAAGGAAGTCATTTTAGAACGCCAACTACTCCAGAAAGATGTAATTAGTTGAACGTAGCCGTCCTCTCCAAGGACAGAGGCGTTCAACTTCCAGAGGCCAGGACCAGGCGGGACGACACCAGGAACAAAGACAGAAACCAAAAGAGCACAATGGTCAGAAAAGGGACAAGGAACAAAGTCACAAGACGACATAGACGCTACCCAAACATAAGGACAACCAATCAGATCTATACGCGAAGAAACGGTGCCGTCCGGCCTGGTCCAAGAGAAACCTGCCGTGTCAGGGTGAAGATACCGCCAGGCATCAACACAACAAGAGGACTCAAAGAGTGCTTTCAGAGCAGCAGAACTCTCCCTCCAGGTGTCAGAGGAGTCAGAGCCTCTGCGATCCACAGAACGATCGAAGATCTGTATTGAAGTCCCCACAAAGGAGTGTGGGAACAGTAGGATCGAGCTCATCAGCAATTTGTTCCAGAAACTCGTTCCTTGCAGGGTTGCGGTTCGGGGCATACAAAGAGACTACACGAAAAGACTGATCATGATAGGAAAACTCACACTGCAGGAAGCGTCCCTCCTCATCAGCCCAAGACTGAACCAGGGACAAAGAAGGACGGAAAAGGACGATACAACCACAAGATTTAACGGAACCAGGCGAGACAACACTTAAGAAACCAGAAGAACGGAACCACGAATCACATTCAGCCAAAGAGGTACAATGAACTTCCTGAATACAAACGATAGTGACTACAACAGATAAGGAACGCAACCACTGCAAAAAACCAGCACGCTTGTCGGCCATACGCAGGCCGTTGGCGTTGATGGTTAGGACGTTTAAGTTGAAGGAAAAGGTAAGAGAGAGACGACTCAAGACCTTCGAGACTTAGGTCTGGAAGGAACAGCAGGGGGCAAGGGGTGCTTGCCCGCAACAAGCGGAGACCTGCTCCTACCCGTACCCACAGGTGACACAGAACGCGATCGACCAGGCGACACCACGACAGGGGTTTCCGAGCAGTCCGCTTAGCCGGCAGCGGAACCACAAAACCGTCACGATCCGTGGAGTGAACGGAGTCAAGAGAGGACTCGTCACCACTAGGGACACCACCAATGGAGGCATCACTACGGATCTCACCATCCTCCGACTCAGAGTCACTACTATCACTAGATTCAGCATTATTCATTTCATTGTCATTACTAATAACTACTCCATTATTATCATTACTGTTGTCACTAATAATACTTTCACTAATGCCATTGTCATTACTAATAACTACTCCACTATTATCATTACTATTGTCACTAATAATACTTTCACTAATGCCATTGTCATTACTATTAACTGTACTATTACTATCATTACTGTTGCCATTAACTAATTCACTTTCACTAGTAACACTAACATTGCCACTATTACAATTACTATCAATTACTTCCATTTCATTATTTAAGGAATCATTACTAACATTGCTAGGTAAATCAGCACAATTATTTGAATTAACAGAATCAGAATTTGGAGCATCAGAACAATTAGAATTTGAATTAACTGAATCAGAATTTGGAGCGTCAGGAGAATTAGAATTTAAGGCCAGACCCGCCAACACACTCTGACTCACGTCAGTAGAAGCCTGTGAAACCACCGTAGCCCCCTCAAGAGAATCAGGATCAGCACAAGCAGAAGCAGAAACGGAGCCAGGGGCATCCTGACTGGACAACTCGTCCAGTTGGTTGTCCCTCAAGTCAACAGACCCACCCTCCTGACCACCAACTGGGGCGTCAGTCGCACCCTGAGCCACGACCTCACCCCAACCCTCACCGTTGCGACCAGGGCAGTTGCGGGCAAAATGCCCCTCCTCCCCACAGAAACGACACTTATTCCGCATGGGACACACCCGCGAAACGTGGCCCGCGCCACAGATGTCACATTCAACGGGCTGCCCCCTGTACCATACTTTGCCCGACCAACCCTCCACAGAGATGTGCCTAGGAATAGGGCCCTTCCGGATCATACGGACAACACGAGTCCCAGAATGGACTGTGGAGTCGGGGTGCAGCTGGTGACGAATGCCCCCCACTTCCCCATACTGCTGCATGGCAGCCTGGATCACACCATTATCTAGCTCATACGGGAGATGGAAGGTAAGGACCGACTCTAAACTAGGCCCTCCCCCAACCACTTGGCAAGGGTAGCCCTCAATCTCAACCTCCGACTGACGCTCGATGGAAGTTTTGGCTTCCACCGAGTCAAAGGTCAACTGGACGCGCAAACCCGGCAAAAATTGAACAGCCAGCAGTTTCCAAGTCCCAAAGCGTTCTGCGAGCATACGAATAAGCTCGGGCCGAGAAACGACCTGGGGAATACGCCCAATACGCAGCGTAACCGTCCGACGCATCGCGGGACGCGGCATCACAACAAAAAGGAAAAGACCCCAACGGGATTAAGCCCTGACGGGCGGGGAACCAATAAAGACGGGCTACCTGAGAAAAAAAGACCCCAACGGGGTTAAGCCCAGATGGGCAGGGCCCAAAAAGGACGGGCGACCCACTAAAGACAATAAAAGTATAAGACTTACAAAAAATCCAAGCTTGAAATGACCACGGTCCAAGAACCAGAAGCTTGTCCTCTGCAAAGTGGCTACCAAACAAGGCAAACACCAGCAACCACGACCAAAAACGGGAGCAGGTAGTCACGATGGACTGTACACGCCGCAAAAGGCCACAGCGACACTCACTAAAGCCAGTTCCCCACAGCGATATCCTCCCACAAGGGTAGAAATTCCGCGTCGCGAGGTACCGCGTCAGGTAAGTTTTTTTTTTTTTTTTTTTTTTTTTTCAGGCGCCCCGGACGTGGACAAAGGTCAGTGCAATGGCCGGGCGACAAATACTTAACAGAGCCGAAGTGCAATGGCCCTGCCAGGCAACGCCTGAGGAGGGTACACCAGTACGCCAAAATCGCCCAGGAATCGAACCTGGCCCCCAAACGCTCCCCGCCTAACGGGGCACCTGAACAGCCAGAGTGCAAGGACTGTTATAAGGTAACGGGTCCCACAATGTAGATTGTGCATACATATAGCAGGACCCTTACCCGCGTCAGGTAAGTTTTTTTTTGTATTTAAGGTGAGTGGCCGCCCCCCAGTAGGGTGAGTGCAATGGCGCCAAACAAACACTAGCCAAGCCAGACAAACAACAGCAAAACACTAGCCAAGCCGAACAACGACCAAACGGTATGGGGGGGGAACCAGTCCACCAAACTCGCCGAGGTGTCGAACCTCGCCCACCAGAAGACAAAAACAGGAAAACGAGGCAACTAGACAACAGCTAAACAGGAGGCAGTCAGAGGCGATGCAGAGGGAACAGATCACTTAGGAGGCTTAGGAAACTCCAAC